ATGTGACTCTGAGCTTTAGAGCTGTATTCCTGTGAGCCTGAGACAGAAGCATCGTGCTGATAGATTGAGCAGAGCAGGCCAAATCTCAGATGATTGAGAGGGGAGAGGAGAGTGCATCAGCTCAGCCAGAGTCCCACCTGGAGCTCATAAAGAGAGTCTGTCGCAGACTGCATACGTGGCCTTGTTGAAAAATTCAATCCAGTCTGTGTGTTTCTCTGTGTGGTTTTAACCAAAACAACACTTCTAATCACAGAGGAGGAAGATACCAGTCAGTTGGTCACACAGGATGGATACATGTCCTCTCGGTCCTCACATGAACCTGAAATAGAAGCTGCTGTTTTTGTTTTTCTTTTCAATTTGATTTTGCATTCCTGCTAGAGGAACAAAAACTAGTGTTTGCTCTGGAATGCCCTGATTAGAATTCATGAGAAACTTACTAGATGGAAAAAAGCGTTCTTGACTTTCCCCTGAAGGTCATGAACAGTCATAATTAATTTTTACATGACCTTTTCCCAGCATCTCTTTATAGCGCTTATCTTATAATTAAACAGGCTGTTTTTGCTGCTGTGCCTTTAAGACTGATGTATGTAAATGACCTCTGTTCTGATTGGCTGCCTTGTACTGTGCCTCTTTCAAAAAGCAGTCTGGGTTGAAAAACTCCCTATAACCTCAGCTTGGATGGGTGAAGCTAAACTGCTATAGGCTGAACATACATAAATGCATTTCACTGTTCTCGGAAGAAATCCTTGTATCTTCAAGATGGTAACTTTACAGGAGAAGGAAAAGACATAATTTACTTTAAATGTAAGTCAATGGAACCAGACTTTTTTTCCAAGTAATTTTGGGCCGTTTCTTTTGGTCCATTCATCATGAAATTTACATACAATGTAAAGGGTAGCAGGCATTTTCAAATTATGTCAAAAACTGAAAAACGTCAAAAATGGAGTTTTCTTCCGACAACAGCGATTTCTTTTTTGGACATCATGAAAACAGTGAATTCAAAATAGGCCATTTCTGCAGCTTAGTTTCCATATATGTATGGACTGTGTGGAAATGATACATTTTGAAATATTAACAGTGTTTACATGCTACATCAAACCTTTTTACCAAAAAGTGAGAAAATGTAGCTTTACCATTATATGGACCCTTTAAAAATAAAAGTGGCAAAAGGGTTCTTTGGGGCAGTGTCATAGAAGGAACACTTTTAGTTCCCCAAAAACTGTACAAATATGAATAATATTTTTAAAGTTTGAAGAACTTCCACATGACGTAAGAGCGCTTCACTAATTATATTTTTTTTTCTCAAACTGTGTGTCCAAACTAAGACACATTCAAGAGCCTTTATTTTTACCACTGTAGTTCAAGCAATGGGTCTAGAAATAGTCATTTTCTCATTTCTGCATAAAAATGAGTCATACCAACCATAGAATTACCTCAGAAGAATGCACCCACTAGATGTATTCTATACAGCCAGAGAATAAATAGTGTATTCTTTTTAAAAGCCAATGTTTTAACGAGGCCTGGACACATTTAAGGAGGATTCAGGACCTGTGGATCTTTCTTTTAACATGCTTGATAAAAGGTATAGTACGTGCAGCATTAATCAGGCACTAGCCAGCTGCTCACATGCTTGTTTCAGAGTTATTTATTATTTGTATGTATTGGAACACATCTGGAACACAGCTGCTTCATGACAGGAGGAAAAGGGTATCTAAATGTGCAATTCCTAAGATCCTCGCAGTGTCAAGCCCGAAGATTCAGGCTATAACTCACACTTATGACTAATAGTGTTAAAAGACCCCAGTCAGATCAGGCTGTTCCAGTCTGATCCTTCTCTATTCATCTAGTCATCTAGACTGGCTTCTAAAAATCATACAGTATTGTGCAGAAGTCAGAGACCCCCTGTTCATTTGTTTTATTTAATTTCTTTTAACTGCCTTTAAGTACAAGTTGTTCATTTTTCAGTGTAAAGAAGCAAAAATGGAAAATTACACACAACCCTCACAAAACAACTGAATATAATATCAAATTATGTGGAAAGTATTTGATGTGTCCACTCTTTACATTTATTGCAGCTTCCATTTTTTTTCACAACGCTTGCTTTCAGTTTTTCAAAGAAATCTGCAGAGATATTTTTCACACCTCCAAAGCACAGGCTTAGAGGTTGGTAGTATTTTCTGCTTCTCATGACCCACATAATCCCAAACACATTTATTGATGTTAAGGTCTGGGGTGGTCAGTCCATTGTTCTGAGAGCACCAGCAACTTCCTTGTTTGATTTGCACATTTCTTCTTTTTAGTCTATTTCCTTTTCTCAGTAATGGCTTCTTGACAGCTACACATCCTTTCAGACTCATAGTGTTGAGTGTCTTCTTACAGTGGAATGATGGACAGAAACACTTGTGGATTTTTCAGATCTGAAGCAAGAGCTGAGCTTGATCTCCTCTCTTTCAAGATGATTAAGGACTGTTTATCTGGTGGGGACAGTTTTAGTGGCCTACCAGCTCTTGCATGGTTTGGAAGCTTCTATTTTTTCACTTATTTTATGTAAGTGGATTATCTTATATGTAATCTCCTCAGAAACATCTCATGAAAAAAGAATAACTTATTCTTAATGGCCATTTTAACTGGAAATTAGATGAATGAAGGGTGGTCTCTGACTTTTGCACGGTGTATTTCCAAGATGTCTTTTAGAGCCTTACTTTTGCCCATGTGTTGAGCCCTCTCTTTAGCATGGTTAGATATGCATTACAGGAATAAAATGTACTAAACCCTGTGCGCAAGATACCGATCTGTATGCTTAAAAATACCAAATTGTTTGCCAAAAAGTACCTTATAATAGCCTAAAACAATGGCCCAAAATAATAACGACTCATTCTCTTCCCTGTAAACTTATATTTGCCCTTTTGTGCAGTTAGTGTTGAATAGTCATAAAGTTTATTGTCACACATTAAGTGAAGGAAAGCCTGCAAGCGGTTTGAGTGTAATCAAAATGTCGAGACAATTAGATCATGCCACAACGGTGGTTAATTTAAACATTCTTTCTGAGTCTCCTTCCCTTTTCCATGTGGAAGAGGATGAGATGTGCCATTTTATGAGTACTATTGCTCTGGTTATTCGTGAATATGTATGACATGTATTTATAGCTCATGCATTTAAACGGTAAACGCAATCCATCGAACAGCCAAGCACTTTTGCAAATGAGAATTTCCTGAAATAGCACTTGGTATTCTTATAGTAAATGTTTTGTTGTGATCGATCATCTATTGAGTTTCGAGGCCGATATGTTTGTGAGTGTTGTCTTTTTACTGATTTATTGTCCAGTATATATATATATATATATATATTTATAATACTCTCCAGACACAAGTGGGTGACACAGATATTTACTACATTGTCTTATTAAGGCTAAGATCACACATTTGAAAGTACACTCCAGAATCAGCGCCCTTCATGAAAATGAGCTAAAACCAATTTCCATATATGAAAAACCACACCAGCAACCAGTGATATTTTGGCATAAACAAATGGGTAAGCTGCATATTTGTATTTTTGCTGTGCTTTTTTCAGTAACACATTTTTCTTGAAAACATAGATTTCAAAATTATTGGCACACTCATTATAAATATTAGGCAAAGCCTCCTGTGGCAAGATTAACAGCACTGACATGCTTTCTGTAATGCGTAACAAGTTTGGAGAACACGTGGTGAGGGAACTTGAAAAACTCCCCCAATGCGGAACATTTTAAGTTCCTTGATATTGGTGGGTCTTCGCTTGTGGACTGACCTCTTCAATACACACAGTTTTTCAGTTGGGTTAAAATCTGGAGACCATGAAGGCCATTGCAGAACTAAAATCTCCTAATTTTGTGGAATTCCTTATGCCGTTTATTTTTGTGGCTTTTGTGCATTTTGTGGCCCAATCTTTGGAAAGGCTTTCTTTGTGGAACTCGTACATAAAGCTTCTGGTCATGAAGGTGGCATCTGATTGTGGATTTTGAAATTTCAAAACCGCAAGATTCAGCTAAACTGTGCAGTTCTGAAACTGACCAATGGGTTCCTCTTTGCCTCTCTTACTTCCTCCCTGTACGTGGGGGCAGTATGCTCATGCATCCTCTTCCTGGGGAATTGTCAAACTGTTTTTATTATCACACTGATTGGTTAATGCTAATTTCAACTGACTACTATTTTTTTTAGCATTTCCCAATCTGTGCAGACACACAAACTTCTGTTTCGCTGAGTTGACAGCTCCTTGCTTTTGCCCATGTTGACAGATGACAGAGGGATTTTACATGTGTGTAACCTCATATTTATACTCCAAGATATGGTTATAGACAACAATGGAATTCTTGAGAACTAGGAGCAGAAAAAAAGTTTTTCTCCCAAAGAGTCAAATTTCTTTGGGTTTAATTAAAATATGCTTTAGGGGTGCCAACAATTTTGCCCCATAGGCTTTTGAAAGAATACACTATTCTTAGTGTAGGAATGATTTCTGTTAGATAAATGATAAGCAATTTCTCCAAACATTTTTGAGGAATTATCTCATAAAATAAATTGTCATTTACTTTATATGATTATTTTTGCCCAGTTTCTTGAGGGGTGCCAGTAATTCTGAAGTTGACTGTATACAAAGCTTGAACAAATCAGTGTTGTCTCACTACAATTCCCAGCATGCATTACGTGACTACATAATATAGTGATAAAGAAATCAAAAAATCAAACAGCCTGACCTCAAATATATTTGTAGATAAAGGTGCCAGAAGGGGTTCTGTGATTGATGCCATAGGAGAACCTTTCAATGGATGGTTCTTTCGAGAACTGTTTTTGTAAATGGGCTGCGTGAGTAAGAAGAATCTTTTTTAAAATGTAAAGAATCTCAGTATAGAGTAGAGGTATAAAGACCATCTCAGACACAACTGAGGTCCTGCTGAGAATCTAAGAAACCATTACGTAGCACAATAATCTCATCAAAATAAGCAAAGATAAGCAGAAAGCACCTTTATGAGGGAAGCAAACATTTATTTAGATTTTGTCCATGATATCCCAAAGCCAATTGTGAGGTGATGTGTCAGAAAGATTTGGACAGCAGCTGTTATTGAGCTGAGCCTCTGGGTATTTTACACAGACGAGGTTACTTTCAGTCACTGCTGATTCGCTGCTGGTTCAGCAAAGCTGTTTAGTCAGAAACGATGAGAAGACTGATGCATGTTTTCAGAGTCCAGGCAGGCAAAACCTAATTCATCACATATTGCTGCTTTGTGGTTTTCTTGGGCTCTAGGTTCTGCTGGAGATCTTAAATATGTGTGCAACAGAAAGAGAAGGTTTTATCTCTGTTTTTTCAAGCTCCCATCTGAGGAGAATTAGGCCTGAGGGTCTAGTTCTGCTTTCTCGCCAGCACAACAGCATCAGGGGCCGAATTCACAAAAGATTTCCAAAGAAAAAAATTCAAAACAAAAACTAGAGTTAATAAAAATGTTCTCAAATGTTCTCTTAAAGAGGAATTCCACCACTTTTTAAAAAGTTCTGCATAAATCAGTCATTAAGATGTAAACATATGTCATGTTGATAATGGTAATTTAGTGGTAAATCTGAAAAAGAAAGCATTTTCTTTGGGGACTATTTTGTCTTACCACACCCTGCATATATCTGTCCCTCATGAATGGATTAAAAAATAAGATTTTAGGGCAAAACCTTCTCAAAACTATCATTAACAAATTCTCAGACATCAGGCAATGCATTCATAATTTCATGTAACTACTTACTTTGAGGGAACTTTTTAGTGGCATTAAACTCCTTAGATGTCTTATTCCTATATATACATATATATATAAACGGAGTATTTCACATCAAACCACCCTCATTGACTTTGTTTACATCTTAACCATCTAATTATCCAGAAGTTTTGGTGGAATTCCCCTTTAAGAAAGTTTCAGTTACTGTCTTAAAAAGACTAAATGTTTATCTTTCATGAATGTTAATCAGTAGTATTGCATTTTACAGTCTGTCGTAAACAATGTTATATACATTTTACATAGACTTTAACCGTTAGGCTATTTTAATTCACTCTAAATGAATGAACAGTGGTCTAAATGAAAACAAAGGCACATATGTAAGCAACAAATCAAAATGAGTGACAATACTATAGCTCAGGAGTTTATAGGAGCTTAGAAGATGTATAAGAAAATGATCTTCTTCCACCAACTGAGCTGTAAGCACACAGGCTGCTGCATTCTGAAATGTTGGAGTCTATTTAAATAGACGGCAGGGCAACATGTAACAATAGTCTAATCTAGTAGTTTAGGCTACCATGAGCTAATTTCTCAGCATCTTGTAGGGTTAACGTCTTATTTTGGATATGTTTGTAAAGTAATAAAATGCAATCTTGGAAATATTACTGGTATAGCTTTTGAATAACAAACTACCATCAAGTGTTACACTACCACAGGGTTTTGTTGCATTCAAAAATAGTAAGGTGAAGAATACAATCTACAATCTTGTTTCAGGCAGACTTAGAACCCAACAGTAAGCCATCATTAACTCTGGAGTCTGAGTAAATACAACTTTGTTAGCTAGCTCTGAGACAACAGTTCCAGATATAGCAAGTTACAGTTTTAGATGTTCGCCTTGTCAACACTTACAGACAAGAGGCCGTCATATGTAAGAACATATCTTTTATAGAATATATGAATGGCACATGTAACAGTTGATCTAAGCCTGAAGTTAAGAACATAAAAAAGTGCATTTTAGATTTTATGTCTTAAAACACTTTCATAAATCTGCACCCAGGTCTCAGGCCAGCACTCCGGGCCTCCTCTTTACGCAGTCAGCAAACCGATCCTATCTAAACTGTTTCCAGGCCAGCGTGAGGTGTCTTTTCTGAGGCTTGAGAAAGTGAGATAACATGCATGGTCCTTTGAGGGTATCCAGTTTGTTACTGTTGAACCAATTTCCTTCCGCTGCCCTTGTCAAGCCTTTGTCTCAGTCACTCATCCTTGTGGTTGTGTGTTTGTTGGCAGTTTATATGAAGACTCGCCTCTCTACACGTATGTATTACAGAACTGGGCCTCCTATGATCAGCACGTCACATGCGGCCTCGTGGCCATTTTGGTCACTCTGCGGTCTGTTCAAATGAACATTCAAAGATGTTTGTGCGTCACAGGATGAATATTAATAGTAATGCGAAACAGATACATGTTTATCGTGAAGCGAAAAGTGAGGCCCGGTGATGTGGGTGATGTGTTAAACATAATAGTACAATACATTCAAGCAAAATACACTCCATGCTGTAAAGCAGCATACAGCACTCACCATATTGGGGGTTCACCTTTCACACATTTACTCATGGCCCTTTTACTTGACTTAGCTGAAGCTGAAACAGTACACTTGCTACAGGTTTAGTGTTCTGTAGTGGTTTTCACCGACTGAACAGCAAGTCATGTGTGTCAAGCTGATACTCTAGTGTGAGAGGGTGCAGTTTTAAGACTGTTCTCCTGATTATTTGGAGCTGTAGTACAGAACTGAATGTTCTGGCATAAAAATGTTTTGATAACATTAAAATCACTGTAACCACTTTTATGTCCATGAGCCATTGGACATAGATACTCTAAAAAGGATTTCCCCCAAATTTTCTGCATAATTAAATCAGTAAGATGTAAACAGATTCATTCAGACTGGTTTGATCTGGAATGCACCATTCAAGAGGAACTTACCGAGTCAGATTTTTTTTACAGCGGTAATAAAAAGAACCAGACATCTGAAGAGTTTAATGTGTCTAAACGCTGCTTCACATTAAGCTCTTACACAACAAGGTCACAAATATGTGGTCTGATGTTTAAGTTTTACCCTAAAATATATGTTTGAAAATCTACCAATTGCAGAAAAATCCTTGCAGGGCTTTGCAAGGCAAAAAAATTGTTCTGTGTTGTAGACATCAGAAAAAAAGGAGTTGGGGTGGGTGGTTGTCTTGTGGCAGGAGAAATGAGCCAGTGACTGGAAGGTCATGTGTTCCAGTCACAGGCCTGACTGAGTAAACCTGTTTGTGCCCTTGGCTGAGGCCTGCTGTGCTGCTCCCAGATCGGGCATAGTTAGACAGTAAAATGACAAATTTCCCTTGTTGGATTAATACATTACATAACAAAAGATTCTTTACAGTGAACCATTTCATATCAAACCACTCTGAATGTCTTTATTTGCATCCCAACAATTAAATTAAAAACCCCATTTTTGAGCATAAAGCTATAAAACGCTTTTCCTCGAAACAGCCAATCGGAACAAAGAGCCAAGGAGCGGTCAGCACGCTGTTTGGACAGAGGCACGGTGTGCTTCTCCACAGCAGTTCAGCACAAAACTTGAATCCATGTATAAGGAGCGAGCCAAATACTTTTGCAAAATAGCTGAGCTCTTCTCATCACCCAGTCCGAAAGGAGAAATCCAGGTTCATGTATTCATTCAAAGCTCAGATGTTGGAGAAAAGTAGTATTTAAAGTGAACTGTCCTCTTACTTCTCATCTGATTTGTCCATACAGCCAAGAATAAAGTGCTTCTAAAAAGTCCGAAGAATTAGTCTAAAAATATGCGTGTGTGAATATTTGTGTGTATGTGTGTTTATATATGCAATAACATCCACTTCATCGTTAACAATCAAGTACCGTCTAATGGCTACATTCTGGTCTTTCTATGACCACAAACCCAAAACGATCTCATCTCCTCTCTACTTGATCTGTTTGAGAGATTCATTCTGGAGTCCAGTGTTTACGTGAAAAGACTGCACTCCTCCGTAATGTTCAGACATACAAACGTCTGTCCTTCACATTGTGCCGGTTGTTACCCGTCTGTTCCACTTGCCACATTTCCATGAGCTAGCTCTTCTGTTTCCATATGGCTGGAGTCAGGCATCACGTAGACAGACTTGCTCTTCTTGCTGCGGAGGACTTTTGGATTTTCCTTCATTTCAGATACGGAGAGATAGGCAGCGATGCTGTTCCTCACCCCAAAGCTCACCACGTTCTGCCTGCTGTCCGCACTGCTCTGATCAGCGGGGTTCAGTAGCTGGGACCTGTGCACAGAAGAGCAGCACATTCATTAGCTGTTCACTGCCCAAGATTAACTATTCTTTTATCATTTGTTGATTGTTAATGCATTATTGCAGCCTTCACAGTAGGGTAGATGTAAAAATGAACTTTTAATCAATCAGTAAATGTTTTATTGTCTTCTATTACCAATCCTGGCCAATCACAGATATTTCTTTGGATCCAGGCATTTACATGATCGAACAAATGTAAACCATTTTGGTAAAAAACAATGCAGGTCAGTCTTGGATCAAAGGTTTCATATCGCTGCTGTCGGAAAAAAACCTTCTATCTCCAAAATGGTAACTTTACAGGAGAAGGATACTTTAATCTTAATGTAAGTCAACGGAATCAGACTTATTTCCAAGCCATTTTGGGTCATTTCTTTTGGTCCATTTATCATGAAATTTACACACAATGTAAAGAGCAACAGGCATTTTCAAATTATGTCAAAAACTGAAAAACAACAAAAATGCATATTGCAAGACATATAATCACAAAATGTGGTAATAAAATCACTTTATGGTTTTTCATCCCGCCCAACCGCACAATAACACACCGGCAATGCTAACCTAGTAAATGGGAGTGCAATGAAGATCAAGGCACTATGATCAGGGTGTGCATCAGAGGTTTGATGTGTTAGTTATAATATCGTCATTATAGCAAATCGTGACATGCTCTATTTTATGTAAATTATCAAAAAAAAGTCAAATGAGAAAATGGAGATAATTTTGCATGACATTGCCGTTCACGTCATGCATATACTGCTAAAAAGTTCAGCACTCCCACTTTTAGCACTATGTAAGATTTTTTGAAAGAAGTAGCATTACTGAGTCAGGACAAATAGAAACACACTAAAATATAATGTCCATGCACTGTGAGTCACCACCTAATTCCTGAAATAATAACTTAAAATTAAGAGAAGTCGGCTCATATTTCACTGGAGGTTTTGTTGTCACGTCATACGTCTTTACGTATTAACATTACATGCATGCAGTCAAAAAGAAGGACTGGTTGGATGCTTAGGTCTTAAATGCAAAATCAATATTATACTGATGAAGATATGGTGACAATAGTAGATAATTCTCTTATATCCTCCGAAGACACAGCCTTCACCAAGTTTTGACTGAGTTCTCTTTGAATAGTTCTTCAACAAGCTCGTAATTATTAGATTTAGAATCCATGCATGAGGGTGCAAAGCACAACCAATGGTACAAAATGTTCTGCACGTGGTGTACAATTACACATTTCCTCCAGAGAGGTCTCCAAATCCCCAAATCTTACATAATGCAGCTTTAAAGACCACAGGCTGCATGTTTAATCACAAATGGAACATAATTTGTTGAAATCAGCTGGATTTAATTTATGCAGTGCAGTGTGTAAAATGTTGAATAAAAATTGTGTTAATCCTTTTGGTGGTATTTTTTAAATGTAACACCACTGTCGTTTTAAAGATGGATAATATTGAGAGAAATAAGGAAGACCTTTGTTAGCCATTATATCTCTCTGTAAGACTTTACATTGTCTTAGTAGATCTTTTTTAAGATAAAAAGTAAATTAAACTCAAAAAGTCTAAACTGATTGCACAATTTAACCCCCTACTCCCCCCTACTTTTCAGACTTAGCATTCAAAATCTCCTTTCCAAAATTCTTCAGTCTTTATTCAGTCAGTCAGGTATAAAATTAATATGAATGTTATAACAGTAAGCCATGGACATCTGGAACCACCCACAGTTTCTTGGAAATGCATGCGTCAAACTAAATTTCCAGCACCCACCTGTTCACTTTCTTCCAGTCAAAGTTACGCCGCATCACCACAGGGGGCGCTTGTGCGTTCAGGTTTGGCACAATATTTGACAGACACGGGGCTGTGAGAACACAGCAGATGCCGTCTGAACATTCTGAAGAGAGGAATCAAAACATCAAGACATTCATTATCTTGAACACAGAATAATGCACAAACACTAATGTATATTCAGGTATCCTACATTATGCTCTTATGTTCATAAACACCCCAGACACAGCACAGCAAGTTCGACTACACTCGTGGTGTTAAAATGTGAACAATGCATCATACTTCACTTTCCTGTTTGTAGTGACAAAGTTTGCTGAGAGATAAACTGCCTGTCAAAACATCTGTTCATTTAATTTTGAGCATGTTGTCGTTGTCAGTCTATGATAATATATCAAAGACTAACCATTTTGAGAAAAACTAAAATGCACATGTAAATATTTGTGAGAATATATCTACTATTGTGGAGGCAAACGGGGCACAAGCATTGTGATTCAAGCATAAACCGTAGTTTTATTGAACATCATCAGTAAAGCTGTAACACCACTGAAAAATTACTGACTTACTCCTGGCCCTTTTACTTGATGGACTAAAGCTGAAACAGTACACTTGCTACAGGTTTAGTGTTCTGTAGTGGTTTTTACCGACTGAACAGCAAGTCATGTGTGTCAAGCTGATACTCCAGAGGGAGAGGGTGCAGTTTTAAGACTGTTCTCTTGAATATTTGGAGCTGTAGTAAAGAACTAAATGTTCTGGCATTAAAATGCTTTGATAATGTTAAAATCACTGTAAGCACTTGTATGTCCATGAGCCATTGTACATAGATACACTAAAAAAAGGGATTTCCACCAGCTTTTCAAATTTTCTGCATAATTAAATTGGCAAGGTGTAAACAGATTCATTCAGAGTAGTTTGATCTTGAATGTGCCATTCTAGACAACAAACCAAGTCAAAAAGCTGTAACACCACTGAAAAAAATTACTACATTTTTATTTAAAATATGTATTTTTTCTACAAATAGAAAAATACTACTGCCACTTCAGTTTCAAAGTTACACTGTATATAGAAAATTACAAATATTATAAGTGGTCAGTTTTGTAGTCTTTCCTCCCTCCACACAAAAAGTTAATTTTACACACAGCCGTCAACCTTCTGTGGTTTAGTCTTATTTTAAGCTTATTTTCAGGACCACAGTGGTAGAATGACCTATTTGTGATACTGCTACCTTGGAAATAATGACATACCCCACACATTATTTACACAGATAGCGTGGGAAAAATCAAACTGTCAAATTCATAATATGATTACCATTTGTCTACAGTGCAACACTCAGCTTTATCTACATCAAATGTGTTTCTTGGTATGAAGAGTAAGATTTGCATTGTAGAGACTGATTTATATATAGTGTTGGTAACAGTAAAATAGTGGTGAATCAGAAAATATAATTTCATTTAGTAAATTACAGAGCAGCGTTGGTTTTCACACTCTGCTGTATATCCCAGGCATACCATACATTAGGATAATCAAACCAGCAGCAATTCAGAACATTTTACCTAAAAACATACACTATCAGTGTCAGGAAATCCCGAAATTAGTGCATTCATGATGAAATTCATGTTGTGTAATTGTGCCAGTCAGCCAAACCATGGGGTTGGTTGGTACATGTTATGAGGACAGTTGGCACAGTGTTAAAAAGCTTTAATTACAAAGAATAAAGCAACAAATGGAAATAATCTGAGCTTTTGATTTAACCCAAGCCACATATATAACCATTATATGGCAACCATGTTTTTTCAAATATGTATATGTATATATATACATATATCGCTCCTGTCAGAAGAAAATCTCCATTTTTGTTGTTTTTACTGAAATGACCCAAAATGACTTGGAAAAAAGTCTGGTTCCATTGACTTACATTAAAGGTAAAGTATGTTTTTTCCTTTCCTGTAAAGTTACTATTTTAGGTTTTCTTCCGACAACAGCGATATATATATATATATATATATATATATATATATATATATATATATATATATATATACATATATATATATGTGTGTATATATATAAAAATTATGCAATCCTTCATGAATTACAATAAAAGTTCAGACTTTCCAATAAGACAAAAATTTTTTAATACATTCATAGTTTAGGTTCAAAGTTAGCAGGCTGACACGTGCCAAGCAATGCTAAAATCAATGTACCAGTCCACCCATATCAGGACACACCACTATTTACTTCATGTTGGCTACCTATTATTAGTAATTGTCAACTTTCAAATCATATATCCAAATATAGATGATTTGTTTGGACATTTGTTACCTAATTTAGACGTATCCAGTTCCACTCACTAGTTAGGACCACAAGCGCTAGGAGGGTGAAATATGTATTTTTAAAAATATATTTTATATTTTAGGCCAAACACTTATCACAAAACTATCAGGCATCAGGCAGCATATTCATAAAACATCTTGTAATAACTTTACAGTGCAGCTTTTATTAAACAACTTTCGCATCTGGTCCCCATCACCACCACTGTGAACACTGTGACTCGGCAAGCTCGGTAATGTCACACCACTGACAAAATGTCAATCACATAACTTTTTTATGTCTTAATCATTTAACTATGTGCAGGAATGCTGAAAAAACAGCGAATTTCTTTATAATTGTCAATTAAGAGTGAAAATCACACATTACTTGAAACATTTCCAAAGAAGACAAAGTGTCCTCAAATGTTTGCTGGTGTTTTGCAAGGTATATGTAATAAATAGCAGCTGGTAGCCATGGCCAGTGGCCTCTGACCATTGCGTTCCACTGCTCTACTCACCTGAGTAGTGGTTGACCAAGTCCTCCAGACACTGGAAGGTGAGGCGGGGGGAGATGTAGTACCAGCTGTTGGCCATGCGGAAAATCTTATAGTGCTTAATGACTCTGTGTCTCACAGACAGAGAATATACACCTGCAGGACGCATTAGCTGTTAGCATTGCCATTTATAGCTTCATATTTCATTTGGTTTTCACCAATCTCACAGTGATGTAAGAGTCTATTGTGAGGTCTTGAGGGTTCTCACCTCGTTGGTTCGGACTCTCCCTAATGAGAAAAGAGCCAACTGTGTTGCTGGGTAAGAGGAGCAGCTCCTCCGCTTTTTGCCTCACCACTCCCTCAAACAGCCATCTTAAAAACATCACAAAACCAATAATGTGATTCTGAAATGTCCTTTGTCTCTGTTTACAAACTTTATTTTTAATAGAACAGCTTTAAAACTTACATTTTGAATACAATTGAATCCCTTAAACCATAAGGCCTATATGTGGGTCCACACTTCAGTTCCTCTCTCTCATAAACAAACAGCTTACAAATTAGTTTCACTGTAGTTACTGAAAATTCTTAAGGTTAATAAAAGATAAAAAGTCTTAAGACTAAAAACTGAATAATAAGCCTATAGTTCAAAGGGTTATGGATTACAAACATAAAAGACTTCCTACAGAGTGGAATGTCTTATGTTGTATATCACTAAGGTGCCTGTCTGATCATCTAGGAGCTCATTCAGTTACATCACGCACTACTCACCCGTGATAGACCTTTGCCACATGATTAACTGGGATGTAGTTTTCAGTTCCTGTCTGAAAAGAACGAACTCTCCACCAGCAGCCATCCCTGAACATACAGATTAGCAGATAAAACCAGTAAAACTGAGCCTGAGGCCTTTGAAAGTAGTCACTTAAGAGACATTTTCATAAACTCATACTTACTCAGACAGACCCCTGAGTTTCTCTCCCATCTTAAATATCGGCTCACTGATGTCCCGGCATGGGTAGTCGGAGAGTACTACTAAGTTGTCATAATCCGTGACTAAGGTTGAACAAAAATGCATGATATCAGTATAGTTACGCAGGATTAGCGCTGAGCAATACAGTGTTCTATAAGGGAGAAAAATATATGTGCATATTGTCGCTGTTGTGCAAAAACCTCATTTTGTACTGTTTTGCAAAATTTAAAAAACTCCGGTTACTCTTTGCATTGTATTGAAATTTCATGATCAACAGACCAATAGAAATGGTCCAATAATAATAAAAACATATTGTTACATTATTTCCATTACAAGTTAATAATGTTTTTTCCTTCTCCTGTAAAGTTACTATTTTGGAGATATGAGGTTTTGTTCCAACAGTGGCAATAAATTTCTTCATATTGCTGTTTTCGGAAAAAAACCTTATATCTCCAACATAGTAACTTCACAGGAGAAGTAAAAAACCTACTTTACTTTTAATGCAAATCGATGGAATCAGACTTTTTCCAAGTCATTTTGGGTCATTTCTTTTGGTCCACTCATCATGAAATTTTGACACAATGTAAAGGGCAACAGGCATTTTCAGATTATGTCAAAAACTAAATATGACAAAAATGGAGATACGTTTTGTTCCGACAGCAGTGATTCCTGCTTCATATACTCTTCCTCCAATGTACACACACAACATATGTCAATATGTCTGAGCACAGAAAATCCTCATATCCAAAATATATATCAGTATATGTCCTGGCATTGAAAATCCTCTGAATCTATCTGAAATAAATGTGCAACTTATGTCAGTCTACTTCTTAGTGTCTATAATCCTCATTTCTGAAATATATCAATAAATCTCTCTCTGAGCAAAAGTCTCTCTCTGAAATATATGTGCACTTTATGTCAATATATGCCTCAAAATCTAATATCCTCATATCTTAAAATTATGTGTGATTTATGTCAATATATACCTTATAATCTAAAATCCTTATATCTGAAATATATGTGCAGTTTATTTCAATATATATCTTATAATCTAAAATCATAATATGTGAAATGTATATACAATTTATGTCAATATATATCCTATCTAAAATCCTCAAATCTGAAATATATGTTCAGTTCATGTCAGTGTATACCTTGTAATCTAAAATCCTAAATCTAAAATCATATCTGAAATGTGTGCAATATATGGCAATATTTGCCTTAGCATTCAAAATATTCATACTCAAAATATATGCACCATGTATGCCAATATATGTCTGCAGACAGAATTCTGGTCAGGTACATAGGAAAACTGACATTCCGTACACCAGAAGCTCTTTTGTGCACCAGTGCAAGTACAATGGAATTGTGAGGAAATCTGAGAAGTCAGACTCTTAAACACTGAGAATTCGGTATATCCAATAAAAACTCAAACAGCGTACCTTTTAGTGCGGCATCCAACTGATTATTCTCAGGCTGCTTGTCAGCCTCTTGGCCTTTAATTATGTTCCCCATGCTAGCGATCCAGGAAGAAAGCTGCAGAACCACACAGAAACATTAGACTCATTTTTCATGCGACCAAATAGCTTTGGCAACTTATCACTGAAGTCTTACAACTGTTACTGCTGCCATTTCCATTTCGTAACTTCCCCAAAGTGGCTGCAGTGTTATCTCCAGATAGACACACTCAGCTAGATGGGGAAGCTGTGGGGAGCCAGGCTCTACCACAATTTTCCACTGGACACTTCTTTGCAACACAATGCATGACAAATGCACTTAAGCTTAAGCAGAAGCAGTTGTTTGCATTTATATTTGGGATTCAGTGACGAATCCTGAAGTAAAACATATCAGAAAATCCAGAGATGTCTGTTGACAGTGGAAACCATACAATCATACAGTCCACGTACAATCAAAATTATGTATATTCTCTTTTCTGCGTAGTAACTCCATTCTCTCTAGAATTATTGCTTGGTTATTAAGGTTGTTATTATATTTTATTATTATTCAGTAAATTCTACGAATCATTCAGTATCTATACTTATGAAAACATTATGAGAGTTATGTAGTTATAAGAGGAAGGAGTGTGGACACCGCCCACAGTTTCTTGGATGTAAATAGGTTAACTGCTAGAATGTGCTAGAAATAGAGTGCCTACATTCAGGCCTTACCACAGACCACCACATGCATTAGCATGGTGAGGGGTTCAGTAGTGAGAGTAAGGGTTTAAAAAGCACACACGACTGCTGCAACATTTGCAAGAGTACATTAACCATTGTAAATAACCGAGTTGATTTGACAGGGGCTTTCTGTTTGTGAACTTACCCATGAAACTCGAGATTATGAAAAACTCTCAATAAATCTGTTAAAATAATCCGTACACCAGCTATAATCCAGCTCAGACTTGACGGGTCAGCCAGAGAACTTGGAGAAAACAAAATCTGTCACTCACCTCCGCTTCAGTTGTTAAACTGATATGTGTCCATGGGTCGTCAAAAGACACAGAGCTGCAATGGGAGTAGGCCAGTCATCATAGGTGGACTACTGCAGTTGCATCTGGCTGAACAACTGTTGGCCCAACTGAAGCTACATAAGCTGGGTCGGGAGAATCCACCCCAGGACCTGCAGAGCACCCGTACTGACCGTTTCAGTATGAGGCTCGAGTCTAAATGTGTGAACACAGTGTTCGGCTGCACACTTCCTCTGGTGAAATGAGGAAGACAAATGCACCACTGACCATGTTCTTTCATCAGATATGTGTGAGAGATGTGGCCTGCGTGTGACTCTGTGAGCAAATATACATACAATCTATGCAGCATCTCTGCACAAAAATAACGAACAGAAAAAAACTCTAGATTCGCTCTCTTAACTGGATGGACTGAGTTGGCTTATTCTTCAAACGAGGAGGCCAGTCTTTTTGGAAAGTTCTAACCATGCAAATGCTATTCATCCAGTGTCTACTAGCACTGGCATATGTATGCGTATATATATGCTTATCTGGGTGCTTGAAACACATCCAAGAAACCATAATGTTTAGAGACTGTAAATAACACCAGTTACACCCATTCAGCAGACTTGTTGCCATCAAACATTGATTCTTCACGTGTACTGCCACTTCACAGCCCTTATGCTGCTGTACCTAAGGATTATCACTTGTTCTCTGCTCTCCTGCTGTTACAGTTTATGTGTAATGTGCACAGTTAATCTGCTCAGCTCTGCACCCTTTGCACAATTCACATTCTTATAGATATTACCATCTCTCACACACGTCTTCTCCTGCATTTTTATTGGTGCTTTATTGTGGGGTTTAGAGTCTAGTCCACTGTTGTGTGCTTATTGTACTGCACTGTCTTGTTGCTTGTTTAAATGTCCTGTTCTCTTGCGCTATGTGGTCGAGTAAACACAGGCTCAGTGTGTGAATGTTGCAATGAGGCCTTGGTGGAGCACTGTTCCATTTGACTGTTGCCATCACACCCATTTGTAGCTGCTCATGGTTTTGATGACACTCAAATTGATCTATAAGGTGAAGCGTGTTGCATTTTGTTTATTTGGTTCTGGCTAGTAAAGAATGACAGCTATTGAACATGACCCTGCAGACTCTGTTCATCTGCTGAACTATTTATTGTTCAGAACATAGGCACAAAAGGGAGAATCACAACTCCTCTTCAAGGGGAATTCCACCAGTTTCTGCATAATTCAATCATTGAGATCTAAAGAAAATCATTCAGAGGGGTTTTAATGTGAAATGGCTCGTTGTAGAGAAACTTGCTGACTTGGTTTTCTTTACAGTGGTGGTGATAGAGACTTGATATCCACAACAAAAATATTGTGGCGCCAGTGAAGAAGTACACGCAACACGTACACATCTTCAGCTGAACCACAAAAAGTTATTTACAGTAAAGTCTCACCTACGCCTCCCGCACGCGCTGTCATGTTTGTGTAGCAAATAAAATCTCTTATTATTTGCTAATAATTTTATTTGCTACACCAGATGACCAGTGAACCTAATATTTTTATGGTACATTGGTAATATTTGTAATGGTAAAATAGTTATAAATCAGTAAGAAAACATTTTCTTTGGGGACTATTTTTGCCTTACAATGACCGCTCCACCCTGAATGGATTTAAAAAAAAATGTTTTTTAGAGACATTAAACAATTATGACGTCTGGTTCCTATCACCACCACTGTGAACCATTTTGAATGACTGTTTATATCTTCATGATTGAATTATGCAAAGCTTTGGAGAAATAGGTGGAATTCCAAGTCCAAATGGCTGTGTTCTCTGTAGAGAATGTGTTCACTTACTTGTCTTTAGAAAATCAACACAACTTTTGCATACAGCTGGGTTTGCTGGCCTGTTGGTGGAAAGCAGGACAAAACCTTTAATGGTTGTGCATTGTGATTGTGGAAATATGGACACCTCAACCAAACCCTTCTCTTCACCTGAACAAAAACATTGAAAATGTTATATAGATGCCCATTTAAAATTCTCGGAGCCTCTTTGTACCAGCAATAGAGTGACTTCAGCGCCTGTGGGTGCACACTTCAGTACCTCACCATAAAGTAATGATACCCTGTGGTTTCTTTGATTTTGAGCATCTGCCAAATGACTGCAAGATAATTGATCCCAGACGAGCGCACTACTATTATTAATTTAACCATGCATTAAAATCCTCTTGTGTAACTCATCTTGACTCTTTGCCACCGCATTTAACCAAGCTTGACCACATTTTCTGTACTGCAGAGTCTCATTCAGCAGTTAAAATTCATCATCTGATGCTTCCTAGCCATCTTTCTAGGAATTTATGAAGAAAGATAGCAACTCAGTTTTGCAAGACAAAAAGAGATTCTGTTCATTATGACTCCTGTGCTTTTAGCAGAAAGCTTATCAGCTTCTCTTTGAAGGAAGCCTTGTTTTCTTATCAATTTGACATCCTCACCACCTTGTAAAGACAAACATTGTGGATGCTTTCATATCCTGTATGATTCATCAAACAACATTAACTTTACAAATGTCATTGTTTGATTAACTGTCTATCCTTTCAACAATGTTCAGGAATTGCTTGGGAACTGAGGACACAAATTGTTTTGAAAGTGGATTTTATTCCCATTCTTGCTTGATACAACACTTCTGTTGTAGCAGTGTGAGGTTTCCATTGTCATATTTTGCACTTCATAATGTGTCACACGTTTCTAAAGGAAGACAGGTCTGGACTGCAGGCAGGCCAGTCTCAGGGATGTCTCTGAAAAAGACGTCTTCTAGATGTCAGCATGTGTTGCTCCAACAGATATATGTACCCCCCGGAATGAAGGGTGCTTTCACAGGTGTGCAAGTTACCCAAGCCATAGGTGCCAACACAACCCCATATCATGACAGACCCTGGCCTTTAAACTATATACTGGTAACACAATGTCCATTATTTACAAAAACAATTTGGACACGTTTTCACTTTGTTTGCTGACAAGGGTTTTCCTGAGTGTTCCCGACCCCAGTGTTTTGATATTCTTTACTGAAGCATTTTGGTTTTTACTGCAGTGCTGTCTGGGGGATTGAAGGTCATAGGCATTCAATATTGGTTTTCAACACTGCCCTTTATGCACTTCACTTCTATGAGATTCTCTGAATCGTTTAATAATGATATGGACTATACATGAAATCCCTAAATTCCTTGCAATTGTGGGTTGAGAAACAAGCCTCGTTCACCAATATTAGGAAAAATCAATACACTTTTTTCTTAAATGCGTTCTTGAGGAAGGTCCCAAGAAAAAGTCTGTCAGAACAGAAACTGCAGAACTGTTCACACCTTTATGCTCTCGAGTGTGTGTGGATTCTGTTCTTACCTAAGAACAAATCCCAAACAAGAAAACATTGGTGCATCAGTCTTCATGAGATCTGTGTAAATTGGTTTTAAGAAGAAATTTCTTTTTAAAAATGGTTGGTGAATGTGGCCCAGTGTTCTTAAATTGTTGGACTATTCGTTCATGCAGTTTTGTGGTGACTGAGCCTTTTGAGAATGTCTCTTTTGAGATGCTTTCAATGATGACAGCATCACCTGTTACTTATTCACCTGTTTACCTGTCCAAAACAGGTGTTTTTGAAATATCCACAAACTTCCCAGTCTTACATTTCCTCTGTTCCAACTTTTTTGGAATGTGTTGTAGGCATCAAATTTTGGAATTAGTGTATTTTTACAAAAATCAAGTTGATAAAGTTGGTAAAATATTAAACACCTCCTTTTTGTTTTCAGTTAAATACCTATAAAAGACAAATCATTGCTTTCTGTTTGTATCTGCATTTTACCAACTGTCCCAACTTTTTTTGGAATGGGGTTTGTACACCAGTGTTAGTCATTGATGGACTAATGGATTGCAAATGGATTAGCTGTAATTGAAAGTCCAAGGGGAACAACTGTAGCTAACTCAATTGTTTATAAAGTCACTGTTATTTTTGTGGCTACTTCTCTCAACAAGTGATATATTTATATTCTCTGCGCTTCCTTCCTGTCTCCCTTTGCTTTCAGTAAGTCCTTAAGTAGTTCAAGTGTCTAGTTATTCAGTATGTCACTATATTTTTTGGGAATAAATTTTAAGTAGTGCACTACTGTTTAATCACATTTGCAGCCTTTTTTGCAGACTCCTAGAGCACATTGTGCCATTGGAATGGAAATCAACTTGGATATTTTTAATTACTATAATCAAATCAGGTATTTCTTACAAATATTTTCTACAGCACTGTTGGCTTTCTGTCTGCAAAATGTTGTGACTGTATTGAGCTGCTAGCAAGCAATGAGGGGCGACAGGAGAGGGGTGAGAAAACAAAACAATTCATACACCCCAACAAAGACAGCTGCGAGATAAAATGGACAGCAGCTTTCTTGATATCAAAAAACGTTTACAAATGATTTAATACAAATATCATTTAAACCCAATAAAATACTTTATAAATGTTGACTTACTTGCTTTAACAATTTATTTTGCCTGTTTGGTAGCTTGGTAGCTGTGTCTTATACTGTTCCTAGGAAGACCAAAGGCACGTTGCAAAAAGTACATTTCTGAAGTCATTTCTTCAACACTGGCATCAACTGTGGCCAACAGGAAGACATCATGGTTAACGCAGAAATGCATTGGTCAACTGACTGAGAGATAGAATATAAATACACTGAGGTGTTGAACTCGAGGTACAAAACTGAGTCGCTTCTTCATGCACGCATTTCATCTCTTTACATACCAAACTTTTCATATCAGTTGCGGGTAAATTGTGAAAAATGGAATAAATGCATGTTTATGTTAAGTTCTGTCATAATAATTAGAGCTAAATCATTCATCTGAAATATCATAATAGCTGTCGATGATGATACTGTTCGTGCAGCTTGGCTTTGGTTTGTTACACTGTTTATGAGACTTGTGGAAAATGCTCATGATTTAATCTTCACACATTATGTTTTCTTACTGTCGTACTATCTTAATACTTCTATAGTCTTTTTAAGCCTTTATAAGACAAGCTTTCTTTTTTAATATAAGGCATTAGCGTAATGCCTTTCTATTCACTATAGTGGCTGTTTAGCACCAACCTAATGACTCAACTTCTGTTCTGCTGTCAGGCCTGCACTTAAAGTGGAATGCATCTTTAGTCTTTGATTGACGTTCCCTTTGAAAGCATCTATTATATTTTTATCTTTGTGTAAAAGGGTGAAATCTTGTT